ACATGAAGAAGAGGGGACACATGTTGATGAAGAAGAGACATGAAGAAGAGGGGACACATGTTGATGTAAAAGAGACATGAAGAAGAAGGGACACATGTTGATGTAGAAGAGACATGAAGAAGTGGGGACACATGTTGATGTAGAAGAGACATGAAGAAGAGGGGACACATGTTGATGTAGAAGAGACATGGAGAAGAGGGGACACATGTTGATGAAGAAGAGACATGAAGAAGAGGGGACACATGTTGATGTAGAAGAGACATGAAGAAGAGGGGACACATGTTGATGTAGAAGAGACATGGAGAAGAGGGGACACATGTTGATGTAGAAGAGACATGAAGAAGAGGGGACACATGTTGATGTAAAAGAGACATGAAGAAGAGGGGACACATGTTGATGTAGAAGAGACATGGAGAAGAGGGGACACATGTTGATGTAGGAGAGACATGAAGAAGAGGGGACACATGTTGATGTAGAAGAGACATGAGGAAGAGGGGACACATGTTGATGTAGAAGAGACATTGAGAAGAGGGGACACATGTTGATGTAGAAGCGACATGGAGAAGAGGGGACACATGTTGATGTAGAAGAGACATGGAGAAGAGGGGACACATGTTGATGTAGAAGAGACATGGAGAAGAGGGGACACATGTTGATGTAGAAGAGACATGGAGAAGAGGGGACACATGTTGATGTAGAAGAGACATGGAGAAGAGGGGACACATGTTGATGTAGAAGAGACATGGAGAAGAGGGGACACATGTTGATGTAGAAGAGACATGGAGAAGAGGGGACACATGTTGATGTAGAAGAGACATGGAGAAGAGGGGACACATGTTGATGTTGAAGAGACATGAAGAAGAGGGGACACATGTTGATGTAGAAGAGACATGAAGAAGAGGGTTTTTAATAATAGGTGACCTTTTAAACTACAAATTAAGACAAACTGCAGAGTCTTTGAGTTCATGTCCGTGTTTATATAAAACTTTACCAAAAGAAGTATTTACAGGTTCAACAACTATCAAACTGAGGGAAACCCGTCCGTCCCGTCAGAACGATCCCACACACAGGAGGAGGAAGACAAAAATAATAACAAATCATTAATCCTGTGATTTCTGAAGAACTCGTCTGTAGTGATTTTTACTTTGAGTCATGAAAAAAAATACATATTTTCAAAATTGTAAAAGCAAAATATCTCTCTTTGCAACTTACTACATTTTTTATTATTATTATCATTTTAAAGAGCAGAAAATAAATGTCATTTTTTTTAAATTAAATGTATCATAAAAAGAGTGGTCTTAACTTTATTTAGCCACCCACACACACACACACACACCACACACACCACACACCACACACACACACACACACACACACACACACACACACACACACACACACACACACACACACACACCACACACACACACACACACACACACACACACACACACACACTTCTTGTTGGCTTATGACTAAGATAACAGAATACAAAAAATTAAATAAAGTACAAATATTTCTGCTTGACGGCTCTCAGTTTACGATTAATTTTTATTTCCCAAAATAAAATATGAAAATGAATTAAACCAACAGGATAATAACGTGTAACGGAGCTTCCTGTTTCTCCTCCACCAACACACACCCAAAACACACAGCCTTTCATTCCCACATTAAATAAAAACAACCGATATATTAATATATAAACTTTTTTTTAAAGTTCCCAAAACAAAAAATTAAAAAATTAACTCTCTTGTTCTCTTCTTGATTCCGATAAAGACATACAAAAAATAGAAGATATTTGTTTACTTTGGGAGGAAAACAAACTATTTTGTTATTGTTTTTTGTATTTTATCTCCATGTCGATCTGCAGGAGTAAAACAACAACGAAGCGCCGATAAATCACACTTTCTTCCCCGTAAATGTGTGATTTTAATCTCCTAAATTCACGTTTTCCTCTAAACCATCTCCGTAACCCCCTAACCTACAAGGCCTTTCAGCTCTCGGTATATCACCCCTTACTTTGTTATATTATTGTTTATTTAATTGACTCTAATATGCCGTCGTATTCTCTGAAATAGAATTAAAATAATGTTTCATTAATTGAATTTCTTGGAAATGTCCGGTTTTTCCCCAGAATAATAAGTCCCTTCTCAGATCAGATAACTCAATAACTATTGCCCCAAGTTGATCCATTTATAGTCCATTTATAATAAATAACTGTGTGGTTATTAAAATGCACACAATCTGAAATTCAGGCGGTTCTAGGGCGGCTCAATAATGGGAATTTGATCAAAATTGCAATATGTACTAGTGCGAAAATACGGGATGAAAGCGTTACAATACCGTTTTAAATTAAAGTATTGTGGAGCTGTTTGGTACAGAGCCTCTTAAAAAAATCCCACCATGATGATGATGACCAATACCTCCTATAGAGAACCGCAGTGACGCGTCCTAAAACCCGGAAGTAAGTTTAGCATTTTTACCACGTCCGGTTCCTTCGATAAAAAGCAATGCAATTTCTCCATAGGATTTAGGAAAGTAGCTGGAAATAAGGTCTGTGTTTGAGACACATTGAAGAGACGGATCATGTTTTGCTCTACGACATTAAATCCATCAGCAGTGACCCCACCACGAAAACCAGTCAGTATCTGGTGTGAGGGGAAGGGTTAGTGCTTCTCAAAGTGTGGTCCGCGGACCACTGGTGGTCCGTGAGCGCCCCCTAGTGGTCTGTGAGTATATTGGTACAATTTCACATTTGAAATAAATAAATAAATTTAAGTTTTCCGCACTCTCGCGGGAATATCTCCGCAATGAAGTGAGCTTAAGTTTCACTTTCTATTGCATGATATAGCCCAGGGCAACACCTTCGTCACACATGTGGCCACTTGCTCGTACCATTTTCAGGCGATTTATAATCTGTTCTAGGAAAACGATGTGTTTTGGGATATTTGTGGAGTTAGGTGGTCCGCGAGTGTTTTTTTAATGGTTAAGTGGTCCTTGGTATGAAAAAGTTTGAGAAACACTGGGTTAGGGTAATGTTGTGAATCGAGTGGCCCATGGTGGTGGTGGGGTTATGGTATGGGCAGGCGTGTGTTATGGACGACGAACACAGGCCACTCGATTCACAACATTACCCTAACACCAGATACTGACTGGTTTTCGGACCCCCCCAGACCCCCCAATAAAGCAAAACTGCACGTTTCAGAGTGGCCTTTTATTGTGGCCAGCCTAAGGCACACCTGTGCAATAATCATGCTGTCTAATCAGCATCTTGATATGCCACACCTGTGAGGTGGGATGGATTATCTCGGCAAAGGAGAAGTGCTCACTATCACAGTTTTTTTCAGATTTGTGAACAATATTTGAGAGAAATGGTTATTTTGTGTATATAGAAAATGTTTTAGATCTTTGAGTTCATCTCATGGAAAATGGGAGCAAAAACAAAAGTGTTGCGTTTATATTTTTGTTCAGTGTAAGTTGGCGTGACGTTGAAGCAGCGACCCTGCTGTAGTTCCTTTATAGCATAACGTTAGCATTTTGCTTCTTGCGACTAGATTTATGCTTCGAAAATGATAAAAGTAGGATAGACATGTGGAGATTATCCGGCTGAACAAAACGTGACCCGTCTCTTAAATGTGTTTCAACCACAGACCTTATTTCCAGCTGTTTTCCTAAATCCTATGGAGAAATTGCATTGCTTTTTGACGAAGGAACCGGAAGGAGTTTACTTCCGGGTTTTAGGACACTGTGGTTCTCTATATCCTAAGTCAAAATAATCGCTTCTTCCACATCGTGCGGCTCTAATATGTTCAAACAGACTCTTGTGTCTCGTGTCCTGCAGAGACAAAACACACGAAACCTGTTCCTCCCAAAGTGAAACGTGAACAACAGGAAGCAGCTCAACGGACACATTCAGGACGCCTCCTTCAACAGGACGCCCAACGTGAGAGTCATCGTTATTACCATTCATTCCTTTGTATAAAAAGACAGCGGCTGATTCGAGGAGACGCTTCGAGTCCTTTCAAGTGAAGAGAAACACGGAGAGTTCTTAGATCCAGCGGTTTGAGAGAGAACTGCACAGCTAACAATCGTATGGCTTTCTGTACAGATGAATACTAAAAGGCACCGAAAACAAACGTCTCAAAGCGACGCCGACAGCAAGAGGAGCGCGACCTCTGACCTGTCTTCACTGAGCAGAGCGACTTCCATTCAAAACGTTTTCAGGGGGTTTTTGGGACTCTTTTCTCTCCGAATAGTAGATTTCTAAGGAGATGAAATCAGGTCTGAACTCCAGCATTAATAGAAATGTCTCTGTGAAATCTTTCTTCTTCCGAGTGTCGAATAGAAATGACTTTTTGAAGGCGAGATAAGGCAACCAGACTTTCATTTTAAACATTATTAGGGTTTTTTGGCACTTTTCTCTCCGGATAGTAGATTTTTAGGAGATGAAATCAGGTCTGAAGCTCTGAAACGAGAACAGGAACTCAGAATTGTCTCGGGAAATCCTTATGGGGTGTTTGTACTCTCCAAACAGAGCATCAGGAGAGTGTAACAGAGGAAATAAGGTCTGAAGATGCTTTCATATTCAAATCCTGTGAGAAATGTTGACACAAAAAGTCCAAATCCTTTTATCTCCAGCGCTAAGTAGGGTAGGAAGTGTGTGAAGATGTTTCCACTGTCTTGTGTCAGATATTTTGAGGGTTTTATTTATGTATGAGCTTTGGAAGTGGGGATCTTTGTTTGGCTTTTATACCTTACATCTCAGTTTTTGATTTTTTCACTATTTTACAACAAAAAAAATCGTACGTTTTTTGCATATTTTGAAAAACCAACATTTGATTTGTCAACAAAATAAATACATGTGCACACTCTCTTGTGTCAGAGTTTTATTTATTCATCACTATTGTTTTTATTTATGAGTTTTGGAAGTGCTTGGAAGAAATGTCAATATTTTAATTCGACTTTTATTTGTAGATTTTTTCGTTGTTTTGCATTTTTTACCTAAATATCTCAGTTTTTGACGAGACTTTTTTCACATATTTTGAGAAACCTTAATACCATGCGTTGTCCTTGTCATGAGACGGTTAACAAAAAGTAACTAAATTAGAAGACAAAATCTATAAATAACCTGAAAGAATAAAAATCAAATGGACTAAATCAAATGTTGGACTGTGGGATATTTTTCTATCTTATTTAACACATTTTTTTTAATACAAAAATACTAATAAATACAATAATAATTTGTATACAAATCTGAGATCAATTAGCAAAAATAAATCCTTAATTGCAAATAAAAAACGATGATAATATTATATATTTGCGGCTGCTCAGTGAAGACAGAGGATCAGACTGCAGACATATATCCCGTAAGGCTTCTCCTCGTTTCATTCAGTTAGTAAAGTCAAGAGTTTTAAGGCAGAGAGGAAACAGACAGACAGACAGGTGGTCTTCATCCGCCTCCTCCTCATCATCATGCTCCATCTGTTGTGCTTTAGTCTGTGATGGAGACGGCGAGGGGAGGAGACTCGACGCCTCGCGCTTTATCTCTGAGGTTGGAGGGGGAGGAGAGAGGAGAGAGACGTTAGGGTTTTAGGGAGGAAGAGCAGAAGACGTTTTAAGGAGTTTCCCTCCTCTTCCTCCTCCTCTTCATCATCATCAAGAGTTAGAAGGGGCTTCAGCAAAGGAAGCAGGAAAGCAAAGTCTCTCCTCTGCACCACAAAGCAAGAGGAAAAAGGAGGCGAGGAGGCAAGGAGGATGTCTTTGTTTAGAGTTCAGGAGATGAAAAGCCGCAGACAGGAGGTTTTGAAAAGGAGGAGGAGGAGGAGGATGATGAAGAGTTTGTTCTCCACAAATGTCAGTTTTTTAAGAGGCTGAGCTCAGGAGGAGGCGAGGAGGAAGAAGGAAAGGAGGTCAGGGAAAAGTCATGAAATCTAGGAGACGTCAGCGTGAGATGAATCCAGGAGATAGTCGGTCAATATTTCCTCCATATAAAAAGCTTCTAACTGACCTCAGATCATTAAGATGGTAAGAGCTGTTTGGAGCTTCCTTTACTTCCCCTTCTCGTCTCCTTAAGCAAAGGAGATACCGGACCATCCTTTGCTAAAGGAAAGGAGATAATGCTGTCCCACAATTCCTTGCAGCAGCAAACGTGAATTAGTTGCACCTTGTTTTATTTATCGTACACCTATATTCAAATGGTTCTTCGGTGCACTCCACCCCACAGTTTGTGATGTGTTTCCCCTTGACGTGAAGCACCTTGAGACGTATTTTAAAGAGCGTTATATACATTATTATTATCATACAATAACGTGAGTTTTTAGCACACTTTGGAAACATAACAGTAAATTAATGTAACTTTCTGCATGTGTAATTATTCTCCTTTTTAGTCGTTATATCCACATGAAGGTTAGCCGGCTACGTCGTGCCCGGATGTCCTAAAGTCCAGAGGAGGTCACAAGAAGGGGGGGGGGGAAGTCATGAGGAGGTGGGAGGTCAAGAGGAGGTCAAGAGGAGGCCAGGAGGAGGTTTTAAAGTTAGAGAAAACTCTTTAAAAAAAGTTTAGGAGGAAGTGTGTAAACTCTCATTCGTCGAGTCCTTTTAACTAACCCTCCTTCACATCATGACATCTTCCATTAAAGGAAAAGACAAAGGATGTATTTTTGTATTATATTTGACTGCTGCCAGGATGTCCTAAAGTCCAGAGGAGGTCAGGAGGAAGTCAGGAGGAGGTCAGGAGGAGGTCAGAGGTCAAGAGGAAGTCAAGAGGAGGTTAGAAACTCAGAGAAAGTTCCAGAGAGTTAGGAGAAGCTGAGCAGGAGATCGGGAGGGAGTTCTCTCATTTGTCGAGTCCTTTTAACTAACTGTCCTTCACATGGAGGAGAGGAGGAAGTCAGGAGGAGGTTAGGGGTCAGGAGGAGGTCAGCAAAAGACCAGGAGGAGGTGACAAAGTTAGAGAGAACTCAGAGAAAGTTCCAGAGAGTTAGGAGGAGATCAGGAGGAAACAGACAGACAGAGTCACTTCACCAGCACTGACTTTGGCAGAAACGCCTCCATCTCGACGCCTCCGTTCAACGCTGAAGACGCCGAGGAAGGGGAAGAGGAGGAGGAAGGGGACGAGGCGGAGGAAGGGGACGAGGAGCTGGGCGCCGCTTTGGGGAGGCTGTACATGTAGACGGCTCCGATCACAAGCCCCGCCCCCGCCGTGAAGAGCAGGTCCACGTGGAAACCGAACAGGTAGATGGACGTCACCGTGGAGACGATGATGGAGAAGGACGTGGCGAAACCCTTCAGGATGTTGTCGGCGTATTTCACCACCACGGCAACCAGCAGCCCTCCGAACGCCTGGTTGAAGATGACGCACCACACCATGCCCGTGTAGCCGAAAAAGAAGCCGCGCTCGGCGATGGCGTCTCCGTCGTTCCACCAAAGTCCCAGCATGCCGAGCGCGCTGCCGAACACGCCCAGTTGGACGTTCCTCATCCACACGGACGCCGAGCTGCCCTTCAGGATCTTCTCAAAGTAGACGCCGGCGAATCCCGACGACAAGCAGCTGATCACCACGGCAACCAGGCCCACGGTGTAGTTCTGGTTGTCGCCGTCCGACACCGACGCCTCCTTCTTCCCCTCCTGCTGCACCTGGGGAGGGATTACACCAAGGATCGGTCATTAATCAGCACTTATTACACGGCTTAGTTGAATACTCGATTCTGATTGGTTCATTGGGACATTTCAGAGGTTGTTTAGTAACGGCCCCTATACACGGCGGCGTGCGTTGACACTTTGAATGGGGTGACGTCACGCTTCGCCGAACTGCATTGTGGGAGCAAAAACGTAGCTTTGCTCGCTTCAAAAGTTGAGCAATGTTCAACTTTTGAAGCTTCGACGGAAGCGTCAGCCAATATAATCATATGCCAGTACAAGCTCTAGCACAGGGGTTCCCAAACTTTGCCATGCCAAGGACCCCCATATAGCATTATCCTCGGCGGGGACCCCCCTGTTGCAATTTTTAAATGATGTGTACAAGTGCCTCCCGATGGAACATGCAGTGTGTTGCCACTACATTTGGGGCCTTCTGCCTGATCGAAGCTGTCACTCCGCTTTCTTTGCCTGTCATAGCCCCACTGCCCCATCTGAACACACACCCACACAACGAGACCAGTCAAGTCCGTTTGAGATGATGTACTCATCTAAAACTTGGAAAATGTCTCTTCATGTGGTCCTACCTTCCAGTGCTTTGCAAAATAATATTTCCTCAACAAAGTTGTCTTCTGAAATAAATCTGATGTATGCAAGCAATACTGCGACTTTTGCTACATCCGTGCTCTCATCCAGCTGCAGAGCGAAATATTCACTAGCTCTCACTTGCTCCAAAAGCTGAGCAGATTTTCACTCTCAGTAGCGGCAGCTCGATTCTGATTGGCTTGAAGGGCGGTCGTGTGATTCAAAAACAAAATATATGAAAAGATTGGCATCAAAGGACACAGATTGATAGATATGCAGTTATTAATAACATCTAAAAAAATGTTAAATCCGGTTTCCCTCAAACTTTGAGTGACCCCCCTGGCGGCCCCCCGGGGGTCGGGCCCCCACTTTGAAAAACACTGCTCTCGCCAATCAAACTGCTGCTTGTGTGTCAGGGGCAGGAGATTCAGGTGATTGGTTGTTGGTCGAGCTTCAGACACGCCCGTCGCCGTGTGTAGGGATGAGGGCCGTAAGGCGGTCGTTATTGAAAAACGTAACATGTGATAATGGAGCCAGACGAGAAGCACATCAATACAAAGTACGACAACATGTGGATGAACTATGAAATGCTGCAGGAAAACTGATGTTCCTCAGAATTACGTTTTTAAACAGAAATCATTCAATTATTAAAAGCTGCAACAACTATTAGGATGATTAAAATGTATAGTTTAGGTATTTTTCCAGCAAAACTGCCCAAAATAAAATGAAATCAAGCTTTTAAGTGTTCCCTTATTTAAATCAGTCAAGTTTTTAACAAGTTAAAGGCTTTTGTTGTCATATGTTTAAATAGCTACAGCGTCGTTTTGGCAATAGTCTCAGGCAATAGATTGTTATCTGCACTTACACCCCTAAGTAAAACTTAAGTGGTCAACATTAGAGATGAGTCAGGTGTCTACAGGTGAGGGATGTACCTGAACGACGGCGACCCCGGCGAACAGCAGCAGCAGAGAGACCCACTGAACTCTGGAGAGAGACTTCCTGAGCATCATGACGCTGAACAGAGCCGTGGTGAGGATCTTCAGCTGGTACGTCACCTGGGGAGAGAGACTCTTGTTAACACTCAAACCAGTGTGTGAGCCGGAGTTATGCAGCATGGGAAAAGACAAGTGGTTCAAAGGCCAAAGATGGGTTCAGGTAACAGTAAAACAGGAACATGTGTTGTCTGGGGAAAGACAAGGTGTCAAAAGAACTACCATCAAGAAATTGTCGTGTTGGTGTCCAAGGAGGGCATGAATGATTAACCCTGATGTACAACAGGTGCAGTTATCCAGAGGTGGGAAGTAGTGCAGTACAAATCCTTTGTTACCGTAATTAAGTACATTTTTCTGGTATCAGTACTTTACTCCACTACTTATTTTTCTGACGACTTTTTACTTTTACTTCTCACATGTTGAACTCAAATACCTGTACTTTTACTTCTCACATGTTGAACTCAAATACCTGTACTTTCTACTTCTTACATGTTGAACTCAAATACCTGTACTTTTACTTCTCACATGTTGAACACAAATACCTGTACTTTCTACTTCTTACATGTTGAACACAAATACCTGTAATTTCTACTTCTCACATGTTGAACCCAAATACCTGTACTTTCTACTTCTTACATCTTGAACCCAAATACCTGTACTTTCTACTTCTTACATGTTGAACACAAATACCTGTACTTTCTACTTCTTACATGTTGAACACAAATACCTGTACTTTCTACTTCTTACATGTTGAACACAAATACCTGTACTTTCTACTTCTTACATGTTGAACTCAAATACCTGTACTTTCTACTTCTCACATGTTGAACCCAAATACCTGTACTTTCTACTTCTTACATGTTGAACTCAAATACCTGTACTTTCTACTTCTTACATGTTGAACTCAAATACCTGTACTTTCTACTTCTTACATGTTGAACTCAAATACCTGTACTTTCTACTTCTTACATGTTGAACTCAAATACCTGTACTTTCTACTTCTCACATGTTGAACCCAAATACCTGTACTTTCTACTTCTTACATGTTGAACTCAAATACCTGTACTTTCTACTTCTTACATGTTGAACCCAAATACCTGTACTTTCTACTTCTTACATGTTGAACCCAAATACCTGTACTTTCTACTTCTTACATGTTGAACCCAAATACCTGTACTTTCTACTTCTTACATGTTGAACTCAAATACCTGTACTTTCTACTTCTTACATGTTGAACCCAAATACCTGTACTTTCTACTTCTTACATGTTGAACCCAAATACCTGTACTTTCTACTTCTTACATGTTGAACACAAATACCTGTACTTTCTACTTCTTACATGTTGAACCCAAATACCTGTACTTTCTACTTCTTACATGTTGAACACAAATACCTGTACTTTCTACTTCTTACATGTTGAACCCAAATACCTGTACTTTCTACTTCTTACATGTTGAACTCAAATACCTGTACTTTCTACTTCTTACATGTTGAACCCAAATACCTGTACTTTCTACTTCTTACATGTTGAACTCAAATACCTGTACTTTCTACTTCTTACATGTTGAACCCAAATACCTGTACTTTCTACTTCTTACATGTTGAACACAAATACCTGTACTTTCTACTTCTAACATGTTGAACTCAAATATCTGTACTTTCTACTTCTTACATGTTGAACACAAATACCTGTACTTTCTACTTCTTACATGTTGAACACAAATACCTGTACTTTCTACTTCTTACATGTTGAACTCAAATACCTGTACTTTCTACTTCTTACATGTTGAACACAAATACCTGTACTTTCTACTTCTTACATGTTGAACTCAAATATCTGTACTTTCTACTTCTTACATGTTGAACTCAAATACCTGTACTTTCTACTTCTTACATGTTGAACTCAAATACCTGTACTTTCTACTTCTTACATGTTGAACTCAAATACCTGTACTTTCTACTTCTTACATGTTGAACATCAAATACCTGTACTTTCTACTTCTTACATGTTGAACTCAAATACCTGTACTTTCTACTTCTTACATGTTGAACACAAATACCTGTACTTTCTACTTCTTACATGTTGAACTCAAATACCTGTACTTTCTACTTCTTACATGTTGAACTCAAATACCTGTACTTTCTACTTCTTACATGTTGAACACAAATACCTGTACTTTCTACTTCTTACATGTTGAAACCAAATACCTGTACTTTCTACTTCTTACATGTTGAAACCAAATACCTGTACTTTCTACTTCTTACATGTTGAACTCAAATACCTGTACTTTCTACTTCTTACATGTTGAACACAAATACCTGTACTTTCTACTTCTTACATGTTGAACTCAAATACCTGTACTTTCTACTTCTTACATGTTGAACATCAAAATACCCTGTAATTTCTACTTCTCACATGTTGAACTCAAATACCTGTACTTTCTACTTCTTACATGTTGAACTCAAATACCTGTACTTTCTACTTCTTACATGTTGAACTCAAATACCTGTACTTTCTACTTCTTACATGTTGAACTCAAATACCTGTACTTTCTACTTCTTACATGTTGAACACAAATACCTGTACTTTCTACTTCTCACATGTTGAACATCAAATACCTGTACTTTCTACTTCTTACATGTTGAACTCAAATACCTGTAACTTTCTACTTCTTACATGTTGAACTCAAATACCTGTACTTCTCTACTTCTTACATGTTGAACTCAAATACCTGTACTTTCTACTTCTTACATGTTGAACTCAAATACCTGTACTTTCTACTTCTTACATGTTGAACTCAAATACCTGTACTTTCTACTTCTTACATGTTGAACTCAAATACCTGTACTTTCTACTTCTTACATGTTGAACCAAATACCTGTACTTTCTACTTCTTACATGTTGAACCCAAATACCTGTACTTTCTACTTCTTACATGTTGAACTCAAATACCTGTACTTTCTACTTCTTACATGTTGAACACAATACCTGTACTTTCTACTTCTTCCATGTTGAACACAAATACCTGTACTTTCTACTTCTTACATGTTGAACACAAATCCTGTACTTTCTACTTCTTCCATGTTGAACACAAATACCTGTACTTTCTACTTCTTACATGTTGAACTTACCTGTACATTAGTTTGAAACACAATACCTGTACTTTCTACTTCTTACATGTTGAAACTCAAATACCTGTACTTTCTACTTCTTACATGTTGAACTCAATACTTGTACTTCTACTTCTTACATGTTGAACTCAAATACCTGTACTTTCTACTTCTGCACATGTTGAACTCAAATACCTGTACTTTCTACTTCTTACATGTTGAAACTCAAATACCTGTACTTTCTACTTCTTACATGTTGAAACTCAAATACCTGTACTTTCTACTTCTTACATGTTTGAACTCAAATACTTGTACTTTCTACTTCTTTCTTACTCTCTCCTTAGGCTTCTCTCATTTCCCAAACAGCTGGTTCCTTTAGTCTGAATGTGTGTTTGGTGCGTGATCATTATTATTTAGAGTCATTGCGTGCCTATTGATTTGAACACGATCCGTGTATCCATCATTTCCTGGTCTTCTCTAAAGAAGAGGGACCAATGGAAACGTTGTCATGTTGCCGTTGTTCAGCATGGAAACATTCATTAGCTAACAATGACATTATTGTTCTATTGATATAAAGGGAGGTCAGGTACTCTTTAAAACAGCTGCTAGTTATGGGTACTTTTTACTGAAGTACATTTCAAAGCTTCTTTACTTTTACTTGAGTAAAGTTTAGTCAGTACTTCTACTTTCACCAGAGTATTTTTAAACACGAGTATCTGTACTTCTACTTGAGGAAAGGATGTGTGTACTTTTGCCCTCTCTGCAGTTATGCAAGCATCTCCATGTATGTTAAGTGATAAGAAGATGATGATAAGGGATCTGAAGTGAGACCTGGAAGGTGGCGGCGGGCAGGTTGGAGATGGCGATGTACTGCAGGTTGTTCTGCAGCGTGTAGATGAGCGAGGGGACGGCCAACTTCAGAGTGTCTTTGTACTGAAACACCAGGGAGTCG